CCCAGCAATACGGTAAACATTTGTAAGTGTTACTTGAAGCAATGAATAAGTGAACGTTATATTCACGTTTAATTTTACATGAATAGGATTGCATTTTATAAACAATCACGTGACATGCATTTTGCTTTCAAATATTACGGACATCACCTTTTTAGTGTATTAATCGCAATGAGCATTAAAACAGCAAGCAGATAATGAAAATACCAATGGGCAATCTTCAAATGGATCCCCTTTTCATTTCAAGCCCCACAGACCCATCAGCGGCCCTCTCCAGCACTCTTCATCACCCTCCCCTCTGCCCCAGTCTCCTTTCTATTTTCAAATTGGCCAAGCACTTTATCAGGATTTGTGCAGTCTGTCCTCACACCCAGAACAGGATCCTTGCAAGCTGCCACGGCTGCTTCCTGCACAGCCCTCAGACAGGGGTTCCTGAGCAACTGGCAGTTCATCTGCCTTTGTAACTTTTCATACCAGTCCTTTTGTTTTCTTCAGAGAATTAGTTACAACTTCCTGCTTTAAAACAATGGACTTCTTGTTTTGGGTTTTTTTTGTTGTTTTCACTCTAAACCTGAAGAGCCAGACTCATTGATGTCCTTAAGCGTTCCATCAGCAGCCACTCAAGGACAAATGTTTGTTGAATGAGTCCAGAAGAGGAGGGAGGGGGAGGCGGAGAGTCTCCAGTTCCAATGTGAAAAAATTGAGTTTTTAATCAGTTCAGTTCTAGCTAACAATCCCAGGTCCACTGGGGATCAATGCAATGACCTTGTTTGTGAGTACCTATATATTCATTCATCATTCATTCATCTGTGTAGCTGGAAACCTTAAGCTCTGTTAGCTCACAGGCTAGGGATGTCTGGGGAAAAGGCAGGGTAGATCCATGCAAAACAGCCAGGCTCACAGCCCGCCTGTTACTCTCAGCCACCACGACCTTCCTGCGGCCTGTGGTAAAAGATTTAGGGTCACTTGCATGACAAGGACACAGTGCCAGACTCAATTCCCAGGACCCTTTTCAGAAAAACACAGTCAGGAAGTTTGAGGAGGCCCAGTACTTCCCAGGACTGAATGAGGAAGCTAACTTCAAAAGACCCCAAGGAGGTCCCTCTGGCCAGCTTGAATGACAGGGGTGGGGCCTGTGCTTTGCTCTTAACCCCTCCCTCTCTCTTCACCTGGAAAGAACCCTCACTCATCTGGGTCTTGCCATCCCTCCAGAAGCCTGAGTTTCCTCCCCTAAAGGGACTGGCGGGAAGCAGGCACCAAAACCTGACACAGGCCTTGCAAACATACAGGATTCCAGGTCCCAGCACCCCCTAGTGGCCCCAGACACAGATCCCATGGTTAAGGGGCACAGCTCTGAGAAAGGCCAAACACCAGGCCCTGGCGCTGTGCCTAGCCACCTCTCCTCAGCATCCTTTTTTTTTTTTTTTTTTTGCCGGGAGGACTAGCCGTGAGCAAACATCCAATGCCAATCCTCCCTTTTTTTTCCCCCCACTCTTGAGGAAGATTGGCCCTGGGCTAACATCCGTGCCCATCTTCCTCCACTTTATATGGGAGGCCGCCACAGCATGGCTGAACAAGCAGTAGGTCGGTGCGCGCCCGGGGTTCGAACCTACAAACCCCGGGCTGCCGCAGCAGAGTGCGAGCACTTAACTGCCGCGCCACTGGGCCAGCCTTCCTCAGCATCCTTGACCTGCTCCCTCCTGAGGAAGATCTGGACCACATTTGCAGTTTTCAGGCCCAGCTGTGACTTTGTCCAAAGGGATTTGTTGGTGAAAAGAGGAGAAGCCCTGCATTTAGGACTAGCGAAAGCCAAAGTCACCTGAAGGATCGGGGGAGGTGAGTAGGGCAAAACGCAGGAAATTCTGGCATCTGAAAAAGCTCTGGAAAACCAAATCCGAGGGGGAGACTGAGGAAAGGACGCTCTGGCCAGAGGACAAGCTAACTGAATCCTGGCTAGGGTGTCCTCTGCCCCAGGGGTTACATAAATGGTAAGGTCCAGGGTAGAGGGCACTGGACCACCTAAGGATAGAGACATCTTTTGTAGACCAGGGAGGTGCACATGGGGCGAGAACCTTCGCAGAGGACCCGGGAGGAGCAGGCCCTGGCCACAGACAGAAAAGGGTCGTCTGAAGCGCAGGCCCAGGGGCTGGGGGGCTGAGTTGGCGGTCGGGGAGTCAGGCCACCCCCTTCTCCCGCCCCATCCGTGAGACGCCTCATCCCAGTCCACCTCCATCCTCCCAACCCCCCCCACCCCATCCCCCATCCCACTCCGCCCCCACTCTCTCACTCCCTGCAGTCCAGCGGGCCGGGCCACAAGTGCCAGCCCTCCCCCTCTCCCCGTCCCCTCCCAGCCTATTAAGACAAACCCCTTCTGGACTCTCTAGGCGACCCCACTCGTGAACTGAGCCTCTCGTGAGATTTGCCCTAGAAGGAAAGAGAAACCAGGATTGGTCCGATGCCGCTATTTCCCAGTGGGCTCCGCGGAGTTTGCTGAGTCAGCGCCCGGTTTTTTCCTGCTAGACGCTGCGCCAGGGAGGCCACGTGGCGAGGTGCGCGGGCTGGGAAAAACGTGAGTTCAAACCCTGATTCCTCCATTTTCTTGCAGCGTGACCTTGGACTAGTCACTGGTAAACCCTCCCTCCACCCCCACGCCTCTATTTTCCGTCTGAAAATGAGTTATCACAACGGGGAGTTGGAGTGAAGACCGAAGGAGATAACGTGCTGGACTTGGGTCAGCCAGGCCGCCCGCTCCGTGAAAGCGGCCGCAGTCCTGAGTTTCACACGTAATAATTCCTCGAACTCAGGCGGCTGCGTTTATTGTTTGATCTCGTTAGTTGGTGGGTTTGCACTTGAAATGGGCTAGCTGCTCTAGAAATCCGGCCCCTCTGGAGGTGTGGGGGCCAGAAATGTGACTACAGGAAAGGGGTCCATGTCCAGGAGGGAAGGGTCGCTTTTGAGCGAGCGCAAGGTCTGCCACTCAGACTGTCCTCTGGTTCAGCTGATGAGAAATTAGTGGTCAGTTCTGGAGATAAGAGGAGAGTCTCTCTGTGAGGGAGGGATCAAGTCTCCAGTTTTCAGTTTCCTAGGCAGCGTTCTTAGAGATTTTCTCAGGAGCCCAGGGCTTCTGAAATACACGTGTTAACACACAGTCTCTCTGTGTTTGGAGCATTTTGGTTCTCGCCCTCAGACGTGGGTGGACACGGGTGACTGAGACGGTAGGAGACGGGGAAACCAGGTGTTGGAGGACCTGAGGCCAGTCTGAGCTAGAGCGGAGTGGACGGAAGACGACTTCAGGTAAGCTAGTCTCCTGAACCGTCGTGTCGGCTGTCCCAAGAAGCCCTGTCGCCCGCGCCCCTCCCCCCCCATCGAGGCGTTGGGTAGAGTCTGCATGCTGAGGCTCCTCACAGTGGGGAGGAAGACGCACGAGCAGCCTTTATGTTTTTCAAGTGATTTCCCCAAGAGAGCGTTTGTCCTGCTGCCGTTTTATAAGAATCATTTGTAGTGAGTTAGGGCTCCCATTCCTGAAGGCATGGTTATGTTCAGAACCTCTGCTCGGGGTGAAGGAGCAGGGCTGGCATCAGAGCCCAGAGACTGGACTCCTGTTTGGTGTCAAGCAGGGACAGAGTGGGTAAGCCCAAGGAGGTTTTGGTCTGATGTCCCCATGGGCTTGGATCGCTGGGGGTAAGGGACAACACTCCTTGAAAGATAGCAACAGTACTGCACAGCTTGTCCTCTGGCTACAGCCATAGGAGGTCAGGGAGGCCATGTGGCCTGGCTTGGAGCTGGAGAATGGAGCGGGGACCTGAGGCCCAAGAATGTCCTTGTGCATTGGGAGCGTTGGTATCTGGACACCTAGTTATAACCCCCAGTGTCACTACTGTCTCCAGAGCAGGAAGTGGTGACCTTTTGTCCGAGAACCACAGACACTGAGTTTGTCAGGACAGACTGGGCCCAAGACCCTGAGAGGAGGAGGACCTGCAGAGAGGAGAGGTCAAGGTCACGACTCCAGAGGAGTTTGGGGTGGAGGGAGAGAAGGGTCAGCCTGGGGCTGCCAGAGGTTCCCTCCTTAGTGTCTGTGACCTGTGCAGAGAGCAAGGAAGATGAGCAGAGCAGAGCCCAGGCCATGAGGGAGATGCCCCAGAACTCTGCCTCCTGCAGCCCCAGCGCTGGGCTGGGCTCCCCACACCCTTCTTATTCCTTGCCTCACATGTGGAGGGTCCTCGATGCACATCTGCTCCCCAAATCCTGCAGGTGATACCCTATCAGCAAATTTGCTTACTTGCTCCTGCCAGGAGGGTGCAGGGTGGAGAAGTATTTTTTCCCAGGAGTTGTTCTGAGCCTGGAGCACCAGAGAAACCAGCTGCTGAGCTGAGGTGCCTCAAGACAGCAAAGATCTTTCTGAATTTCTTTCTGGGAATATCAAACTCCCTCCCCCTGTCCTCCTATATGACCTGGCAGGGCCCACAGACCTCAGCTGAGCACAGACCTGCTGAGCACCCCCGACTGTGGTGAGTGATGTCACCAAAATGAGGCTTTCTGTTCTTGTCCCTAACCTTGTCCACTATTGCCACACATAGAGAATGGGATGTTCCCATTCTAAAGCTACTTCTCGAGGCACTCCCCACAACAGGATGGCACAAGTGACGGCCACAGGGAGGCCTAGACCAGGAGCCAGGGGCTTCATTCCTGTGTCACCTTCCCATGGCCTGCTCTGTGACTCAGATGCAGGTGACTCACCCTTTTGAGCCCCAGTTAGTGTACATGGAAAGGAAAAATCAGTCTAAGCCCCCCGTCTCAAGAGAGAAGCTAATGAGACTAGGAAAGTGAAATACTTTGGTAATTTCATAAGTTATACCAAATGTGAGCAATTATTTTTATTCGTCATCATGATTCAGAGTCCAGGTTCAAGCTCACATTCGCCATCTCCCAGAGCAGTATAAATGAAGAAAATGGTTGTGACAAAAAGGATGAAGATGTCCCTGGGGCTGGCCCAGTGGTGTAGTGGTTAAGTTCGCGCGCTCTGCTTTGGCTGCCCAGGGTTCGCAAGTTTGGATCCTGGGGGTGGACCTACACACCACTCATCAAGGCGTGCTGTGGTGGCGTCCCACGTACAAAACAGAGAAAGATGGGCACAGGTATTAGCTCAGGGCTAATCTTCTTCAGCAAAAAGAGGAGGATTGGCAACAGATATTAGCTTAGGGTCAATCTTCCTCACCAAAAAAAAGAAGATGTCCCAGAGGAAGTGATGCTGGCAAAAATCTTCACACTAAAGGAACTATCTCAGAGATTGGCATGACATTGAAAGCACGAAGGATAAAATGTTGGAAGCCTATCCACATTTGGAAAGCAGTTCACCAAGGTAGGGAAAAGATGCTCACTCTGTATCAAAAGTTATATGGTGAGAAGAACCACAGGCAATGTTCAAAGTGCTTTTGATAAGTTTTTTATAAAGAAACAAAACAGTTTTAATTTTTAAAGTTTAAAATCACAGTGTGCTAAATAGTAGTTTTACTTTTTTATCCATTTATTTATAACTGATAGAGAATTCCTAATGTTTTGACAAAAAAATTCAGTGGCCACAGAAAAATCAAAACTTTGCCTAAAGGGCAGGCCCCGTGGCTTAGCGGTTAAGTGCGTGCGCTCCGCTACTGGCGGCCCAGGTTCGCATCCCAGGCACACACCGACGCACCACTTCTCCGGCCATGCTGAGGCGGCTATCTACTGGGGCTTTGGGGAGAAAAAGGGGAAAAAAGGAGGAGGATTGGCAATAGATGTTAGCTCAGGGCTGGTCTTCCTCAGCAAAAAGAGGAGGATTAGCATGGATCTTAGCTCAGGGCTGATCTTCCTCACAAAAAAAAAAACTTTGCCTATGGATTGTTAAGCCTGCTTGCACAGTTTCAGCTTGCACAGTCGTTTTCATGGCCCTAGTCTACCGTGCAAAGCAGGGTCAGCCTGTGATTAATTTATTTTTCAGCTTGCTTGTTTTTCGTTTGCCTACTCAATAGAATGCAAGGTCTATGCCACAGAGTTACCCCGAGAGGAAGACCATGGGTGTCCCAGCCTGTCACCCAGAATAGCAGTTGATGTGCTCTAGGCCCTCAGTTAATGTTTTTGAGTAAGCCAAGGATTGAGGATAGAGGAGGAGTCTGGGTATGAGAGGAAGGGGTCTGCTGTGCCGGAGACACCCCTGTGAACATGTCCACTCTGCCCCAGTGCTTCCTGCCAGCCCTCAACTCATGACACAGAGGATTTTCCCGTCAAATGTGAAGCCAGTGCTCCTGGAATCCTGAGGATCATTGCTCTCCCTCCAGTGGAACAAATTCCCCTGGAAAAAAGTGCTGGACAGCCTGGTGTACCTGGTTTTGCTTTCAGCCACGATGACCTTCCTATGGCTTGGAGTTGGAGATTTGGGGTCAGTTGGATGTGATACCAGACCCCATTCTCTCTTTCTCTCCTCAGAAGCACAATTCTATGGTTTAATGAGTCTCATGAGGCTGAAGTGCAAAAGTCCCCAAGGAAAATGGTTCTCTAGAACCAAATGCCAAGTCTGGGGCCCTCCCCTTCCCTCTAAACCTCCCCTTCATCTTTGTGTCAGGGATCAGTGCTTGCCACTGTCTCCCAGGACTCTCTGTTGGCCTGAATGTGCCCTTGGGGTGGGAGTAGGGGTACAGCCACTGGCACCTCACCTGGCCAGGGCTAACAAAGGCAGGCCCTGGAGGCACTCCCAGCCCCCAGGTCCAGGTCCACAGTGCCCCCAGTGGTCTCAGACACAGGTCTCCAGCATTTCAGGGAGAACCTGGCCACCTGCTCTGCTGTCAGTTCTCTCCTCCCCCTCATTCTGGGCCCACATGGATCCTCTGGGCCATTTCTTGCCCAGTGCCTCCTTCCCTCAGTCCCTCTGTGTCACCCAGCCTGGAGTGAGCCCTCAGCCTGCCCACCCCACCATGCCTCTAGAAGCACCTTCTTCAGGATTAACTCGCCAGGCTCAGGTTGACTTGGACATCAAGCAGGTCCTCGTTGGTGAGGAAGAAAGAGGGACAATCCCTTGGTTAGGTCTAGTTTTTATTGGATTTGAAGTGAAACCACATCTTGTTGAGTACGGGAAAGAGCAGAGAGGGCCAGCAGAGACCTTTAATTTTTAAAAAGGCAAAATATTTCAGGATAAGGAGAGATCTGACTGCAGAGGGAAAGAAGATGTACTGGATCCCTGGTGGAATCTTCTCTGCTCAAGGGCTGGGTCAAGAGAGCTGAAGAGGGGAGAGCTGCTGCATCAGGCCAGTCCCCAGGGCCTCCCATCAGCCTGGCTCCTCTGAAGACCAGCGGAATTGGAGCCTTCCTCTTGTTGGGGTGGGGAAAATCCTGTTCCTGCCCTTCTTGTGTGTGTTTTTTTTGTTTTTGTTTTGCTGAGGAAGATTCTCCCTGAGCTAACATCTTTGCCAGTCTTCCTCTGTTTTGTATGTGGGTCGCCACCACAGCATGGCTGCCGATGAGTGGTGTAGGTCCACACCCGGGAACTGAACCTGGGCCGACGAAGTGGAGCCTGCCTAACTTAACCATGAGGCCATGGGGCCGGCCCCTTGTTGTGTGTTCTTATGGCTGGACTAATAATAAAATTGACACAAGACCAGGTAAATAGGAGAAAAACGCAGTTGAATATGTACGTATTGGAGATCATAGAGAAATGACGCTCAAAGAGTGAACAAAGCAGGAAGTATATATATAGTACACAAACAGTAAGTTTGTGAGGAGTGACAGGAGAAAGAAACTTAGATTTGAGGTAGGTGATTAGTGAGGAATTGAAGCAAAAATTATGCTTGAGGTAGTAAATTAGCAAGGTGTGTTTATGCAGGCTTCTCAGCCCTGAATTCCCTAGCTCTAGTGATCAGGATGCCGGGAGAGTACTTTTCACAGAGGAGATTTATTTCCTGCTCTCAGGGGGAGCAGAGACAGGAGGGTCAGAATGCCCTTTTTTGCTTCTTAAAAAACTTTAATTCGAAATAATCAATATGCTGTTGTGGGATATTTTGGGGTGGTCTGCCCTGGGCCCCAACTCTGGAACCCTGGAATGGCCATCCTCCAGCATTCCCCCAGTGCCTCTTAGATCCAGAGCAGGAGCTGGGCTTTTTTTTTTTTTTCTTCTACACTTTGTGGCTGCTTGTGTTCTCCAAAATAACTCAGTAGAATTGGATAGAATTCCTTGATTTCTCTTGATACCAGTGGAAGGCTGTCCCCCAGCATTGTGGCCACACCGCAGCCTCCAAGAGAGGTGGGCTGACATGCCAGGGATGCAGAAAGAGAGCTGCCAGCTGGGCAGGTGGCGTAATGGTTAAGTTCATGCGTTCCACTTCGGCAACCTGGGATTCGCAGGTGCAGACCTACGCACTGCTTGTCAGGCCATGCTGTAGCAGCATCCCACATTCAAAATGGAGGAAGATTGTCACAGATGTTAGCCCAGGGACAACCTTTTTCAAGCAAAAAGAGGAAGCTTGGCAACAGATATTAGCTCAGGGCCAGTCTTCCTCACCAAAAAAAATAGAGCTACCCAGTCAGCCTAGGCCAGAAGAAAACTGGAAGCACAGAAGCATTTTGAAGACCCCATAAGGACCTGGGGGCAGGTGCTTTGGGATCCCAGTAGGAATTCTGTGAGTGAAGAAGGTGTGGCTGGTAGGACACCCCCCTGATGAGCTCGGAGGCTGCACTGGCCTGTGCAACAACTCAGGACCATAAGGATAACAGGTGACCAGGATGTGGTAGAAACATCCCTTAAATCGATGCCTGGGCCCTGGGAGTCCTGGGTGAGTCTTGATACTGGGCAGGAAGGATGGCCCTTCCTGCAGATGTGTTCCTGGTGCTCCTGCCTCCATTGCCACAGCATGTCACCTGGTCAAACAGGCTCTGCGTGGAGTGGACAGAGGAGTGTCCCTTGCCTCGTGAGGGAAGACTTTTCTCACTCATACTTCACATTTTTAGATCATTTGAAGACAGTGGTCCCTTCTGCCTCCTTGCACCTCCTAGATACTGAGATCCTATATCTACTACCTAAACTTGGATGTCTGCAATTTTCCTGTTTCCCCGAGGTCCTTGTGAAGCCTGTCAGTCAGCTCTTTCTAGCATTGAGATTGTGCAGCCACTCGGTAGGGCAGATCCATCCAAACCCCTCACCTGAGGGTGTCTACCAGTTACTCCCTGCATGGAGCCGAGTCCCAGATTCACCAGGCTAAAAATAAAATCAACAGTGAACTTCAGATTTTCTGAGCAGGCTATTTGAGGTACTGGATGAAAAGTGCCAGCACTATTTTTGCGCCCACTGGCTGCTCAGTTATCAGGGACATTTATGATTATCTTTGTAAATGTACAATTGAGTTGTAAATCTCAATCTGCTGCAGTTGATTGGTAAAGATGATTGCCTAGAAGTTAAAATGCCCATAGTGTACATTCCAGCTTAACCCTATTTTATGCAAAGGCTGCTTATATGGATGGTAGAGATCTGGAGAAAGTGGTCTCTGGGAAAGATACTAAAATGGAGAACATCCTTCAGAGAATGCCTCCTCACCAGTGGAATTGAAGAATTGTTTAGGCACCACAATGCAGAGGGTAGAGAATAGCCTGGAGAATTCTTTTGGTGGAGAGCTTCTTTCTGTGTTCTGAAACTTCAGAAGAACCAATATGTGACCCAGCCCAGCCTCCCTAACTTGGCATATCCTTAAATGCCAAACATAGCTTCAAATCTCATGAGGAAAAAGGTACTGGTGTTTGTGCACCTGGCTTAATATGGAGAGAGAGAAAAACAGTTTTATTCATGTGCCTAATGGGGCTGTGATCAGAATCCTTGTATCTGAGAAGCTTAGGGGTGCGGCCAGAAGGGGCTTTTTGAAGCTGCATTTGCATCAGTTTCCTAGATTGAGGAAACAGCAGTTATCAACATATACTTGGGAATGTGCCTTTGGAGGTCGTGTTTGCAGTCAAGGCACCTGGAAAATGCCTGGACCTGATCTGCCTGTGAGAGGTCGGGATATGGAAGAGGACACCTGAGTCTAGAGAAGGTCCCATGGTAGCAGCTCCTTGATGACGAGGATACATGTGTTTGGCCCATGATTATTTCTTTCTCTGCCTCCAAGATCCCAAAGAGCCCATAGCTCTCAGCCGTCAGTGGCTTTCGGAATTGGACCAGTCATATCCTGGGTTTGATCGCCAGTACTGTTCTGGCCTCTCTCTAGCCCACATTCCTGCGCTGAATCTTCTCAATCCAGTTTACTGAGCTGATCCAGACTTTCTGGGAGGAAACACCCTTTACCTCCAGGGAGGGAGGAAGATGGAATCTCCTCCCTGCCCTACCCAACTGATTACCTTGGGTTTAAGGGCTCCCCCTGGTCTCTTCTGTAGCCACTGCCCTTTCAGTTCAAGTCCATCCAATCGAAAGTCTGAATTACTTTACCTTGTCTGGAGTAATGCCCTTGGTCCTATTACAGACGCCCAACGCCCTCTTCTGGTCAGCTCTTCACTGTACGTTTGACCTGACAGTCCCTCAGTTGTACCTCTCTTCCGCTGTGAATGGGCACGTTATTTGCTATTTTAGGTAATGTAAAGTATAAGTGACTATTTGATACTCAGGAATTTTTCTTGTTTCTTTCTTTTTCTTTTGGGATGACACTACTCTCTGAATAAAGCTGCCTTAATTCAAACATTTGGGAAATTTTGATGTGGCCCAAACTCCCACGACAAGTGCACTTTCAGGTTGGTGAACTGAACACTGTACTTTTTCTTTTCCTTTCATGAATAGACATGATTCAGTCAGTTATATGGAGAAGGTCAGAAGCCAAGTCAGGGTTAATTGGATGGAGAGCCAGTAATAAGATTTCACTTTCATTTGGAAATTGAAATTTCAGCTAGGATCTGAAAAGGGAAGTGAGGCCAGGAAGGACTGTAATTGCTTCTGAGGAGCCAGAGGAGGGACCCTGAGGCCTGGATCATTAGAGTCACTGCCCTGGTCCTCCCCTGGCCTGAGCGAGGACTCCCTGCACCATGCCCCTAACTGGTGAGTCAGGAGCCTCAGGCTCAGCACGCTCCCATCTTACTGCCCTCAGTCAGGGCCTCCATGGACCCTATGGCTAGGATAGCATTAAGAGTTTCGCTTTCTTTCCTTATGAATGAGCGGGCTTTGATTTTGCCTTTAAATGCAGTTTTGCCTTAATCCCAAACATTTTGATTTCTGCTTTGGTTTATGTCGTTTTAGAGGTGTTTATAATACTTCTTAACCAAATAGAGTTTTTTTTTTTTAAAGATTTTATTTATTTAT